TGACCCTGGCCAATATTAGTGTCAGTACACTCTCTGTTCTTCCTTTCACTGCCTGGCTCTGCAACCCAAGAGTGTCTGCATACTTCCATGGTAGCCAACATGTTAATCTTTGTGTGACCATAAGTCTTCCTTTGTCTGGGCATGGAAACCAGTCTCTGACTGCATCCTTGCTTTGTTATCTGGTCCAGAGGTGCTGTCACAGGTGACTGGTAGGGAAGAATGGGTGGGGCACATGCTCCCCCTGAGATTGGTCCCCGACTTGGCATCACTCAGGACAGGGCAGTTTTTTTTGCTGCATGGGCCAGTAGCATGTTGGAAGGGGTACTAAGCTGCAGCACAGAAATATAGGAGTGGATATGGGGCTTTTGGCCCTCCCCCAGGCCCACCCCCGGGCCCACCCATAAATTGTACCCCCCCAGACTCAGGAGGCAACAGTAACCCTTGGGTGCCATTGCCACCTTTTGGATGTGTCTGGCATGAAAGTAGAAGAGAATGAACAAGAGCTCTTTGTTTTCTTTGCTGTTGCTCTGACAGTTTGAAGAACTCCCCAACAAAGTTTGAACTTGCAAGACTATCAAGCAAGCAGGCAGGCTCATTTGCCCTGCAGACTCACAACATGTTCAGTCTCCCCTGTGCTCCCTAGGGACCCAGGGAACTGAGGGCATGCTTGAGTAGTGATGGGACAATCATACATGGAGCAGAGCCATGGGGTACAGCCAATGGCTGTGGGGGCTGTGACCCATAGCGGTCTAGTTGAGGGTAGCAAGGGTGGGCTGCAGAGTGTGGTCTGTTGTGTTGGGACCCCCTAATGCCCCTTGTGTATCACGGCAAGACACCAGGATCCCTGGCCTATGTCACCCTAATCCACCTGGACAGGCATGCTACAATAGGTCATTGGTGCAGCTGGCTCATCCCTGGAACATCAGGGAACATTTTGACCACCTTGCATATCGAGACTGGGATAGAGGAGGCCATCGATCTGTCCCTTTCATAACTGCCACCCAATAAATCACTAAAGCTACAAACAAATGGCTGCTGAACATGTCTTGAAAATGCAACGGGAGTAAGCATCATCCTCCCCTACCCACTCCTGCCTTGAGCAGATCAGCAGACCACTGCTGTTAACAGAGATTGACCTGTCACCAGCCGTCTTTTATGTTCTACAATATTCTTTCATGGATGTGGACTGCAGCCACCTGCACCCCTCTCACCTCACATGGACTTAGAACCCCAGTCCATCCTGTGACCTGTCCTTTCTCCACTCTCAAACAACCCTGGGCTGCACAAAAATGTAGGGGGCAAGAGGGTGCACGGCTTGACTTTTGGGGCTGGTATCAGCATTTAGCGGATTCTGGAACTGTACATCCAATGCTGTAGCTGCTTCTAGGAGAACTTAAACAGTCCCAGTGGTCTGCTCTGATTATCCAAGCAGTCTGCACCCAGTGATTTAAAAGCTGCCTTATTTCTCATTCCTTTGCTCATGTGCTCACTCAATCACTACACCAAATGTTTTTATCCTTATTGTGTTGCTTACCAGGGGAAAGCATCAATCACTGTCTAACTGAAGTGGGACCACAACGTAATGATGGTTAAAAACTGCACAGAGACTGGTAAAGATGTTCCACTCCAAAATAATGTCAATTCCACCAATCACCTTTGCCTACAGTAGGGCTTTTGAATACCTCAAATTCATATGTGGGATTGGGGGAGTGGGACATGGCGAGTCATTTCCCCAAATGGTTCTAGCACAGGCCGAAATTGTAATTCTCAAAACTGAACACCTCCAAACCCATCTGCAATTCTGGCATGCCACTTACCATCCACAGAATCTATCTTGCTGTGGGCTGGGTCTTCTGGATCACCAGGTCCGTGTTGGGAGATGGCTGGAGATATGGGGCAGGGGTGTGAGAGGAAGTTCTAGGCCTTCATCTGAGCCTGGGCCCACTTTATAGTCCACACAGCTCAGGCAACTAGCTAGCCATGACAGGATGGGCTTTGTTTGCCTCTCACTATGAGAGATGATCACAGTTGCATTGGAATTCTCGTCACACTCCTGGACGGCTACCTGAGCTGGCCACATCAAATATATTTTCAGACCTGACCATGTCAGTGACCACAAAGATGTGGAAGAGTGCTTTGTAGTGGGTGCACATGACCCAGCATGCACCGGCTATGTAGTTGCTGTCCCATGTTTTGGTGAACTGCTGTCTCCATACCTTACACTATGAACAGTACTAGAGTCATTCATGGTCATGACCCCAGGCTGTCATTTCCTTGGTTATCCTCTGATACGCTGTCTTGTTTTAATGGCATGACTGGAGTGCCCCCTGATTCTCAATCTTATTCCAGATGGGGATGAGATCATCTACCTCCTCTTTGGTCCAGTTGGTACCACGGTTGTTCATGGGGCTGGACTTAGACTTAGAAACCATAGTTCAGGAAGGGTAGATGGGTGAGTAAAGCTACAGAGGTCCTAGATGAGTTGTAAGGGTTCTGGAAATTCCCGCATGGGTGTATGGGGGAATGCAGGTCCTGGACAGGTCTGATGGGTTCTGGCATTTCCCAGTACAGTAGTTAATGTTGTTCAGAGAATGTAGGCTCGAATACGAATTTGGATATGTGGCCGGTACAGAATGGTTGGCAAGTCAGCATATGGGGCAATAAGTAGGTAGGGGTGGCCACCTGGGGCCTGACACCCAGGGCAGTAGATTTCTGCAGTCAGGAATGGAACAGCCAGAGTTCAAAAGGGTCCAGGACTAGGGCTGAAATGGTGCCTTGTGGGAATACGTGGATGACTGACTGCTCTACCAGCCCTATGACAGTATTATGAGGACAACCATATAGACATCCATCTTGATGTCATGGGCCAAACTATAAGTAAATCTTGTTGTAACATCTTTTGTTAAGGTGAAAAAGGAGTTTTTGTTTTTTAAGTTAATAGGAAACTTTTAGAACAACTTTGTTAACCAAAAAGGCCCATGGCACAAGTTCATTTAAAGGCACTATGGGATCTAATCCCCAGACCCAACAGTCATGACTCCTATCATGCTACACATGCATGGCAGGAAGTGTAATGTTTGGATCAGATCATAATAGCACCCTTTCTACTTATCAATGCAGGGAGAACCCAAGGTCACAATCCTGGGCTGTCCCTGGATGTGCAGTTTGAAAGCTGGGTGCCTGCAGGTCCAGTCCTGGGGTCAAGAATCATCTGATTGTCAGCTCTGATTAGGGACCACACTGAGGTCTTGAACCTGCCCCAGTCCAGTCAGGGGCTAGGGCTAGGGCCAGAGCCGACAAGTGGGTGCTTGTTGCCTCCCTGGGACTTACTATGTGTTCAGTTTGAGGTACCATACAAACCAGCCATAAAAAAATATGGCATTATACCTTATTTACTCAAATATAAGATGATTTTTTTTTCCTCAGTCAGCATGGGGAGAAAAGCACCTCGTCTTATATTTGCATATGAAGCAGAGGTGGGAGCAGGCAGCTGCTGCAGCTCTGACTCTGGCCCTGAGTCTGGGTCAGGGCCAGAGTCAGTCAGGTTGACAGCAGTCTCCTGCCCACCCCCGCCATTTTCCCTCTGCAGCTTCTGCACCTCCCCACACCCAGCCCCTTCCCTCTCCCTTACTGTCAGGCACAAGTCAGCTCCAGCTCAGGTTGGGGTCTGAGCACATGGAAACTCCTTCCCCTCCCAACCAGTCAGCAGTGCCAGTACTGCTGCATTGTCTGTCCAGCTAATCAGCAGCTCCAGCACTGCGGCATGGCCAGGCAAAGGCTGAGTTTCCACATGTTGTGCTGTGGGATGGAGTAGCCTGAGCAGCATCTGACAGTAAGGGGGGAGGTTGGGGAGAGGAAGGAAACAGGCAGAAACTGGGGGGAGTTTGGAGGAAAGAGGCAGAGATGGGTGCAGGACAGAGGCTGTGGGGAGCTGGTGGGGTGCAAGTGGAAGGTGGGTGCAGGAAGGCTGCAAAGGTGGGACAGAAGGCAAGGGGCCACCTAACTCCTGACCTCCAGCCACTGCTTTCCCTGCTGTAGCAGTGGGAGGGGTTCAAGACAATCCTCTAATACTTAGATTCTATACCTGGAAAATTACAACAAATCAATGTTTTCCATGTACAGATTCTAATAATTTTGGGGTCACCTTATTCAGGGTCTTCTTATGTTCAAGTAAATATGGTATGTAGAATATTTTAATGTCTGGTTTGACATTTTGTGGCACCTTAAATTGGATGCATGTGTAGCATCCTTACCATTTATGCTGCAATTAACACAACTGTGGTGTAAATATAATGTATCTGGGACCTAAGTGTAACAATGGAATGTTTAATATATAAGGAAAACAAATGTAAAGGGCATTCCAATGTATATTTTCAAAGGCTAGATGTTGCTTAGTACTCTATATTTAACTTCAGGTTCCCAAGCACAACATGAAAACCTCATACTTCTATAAACTACTAAAAGCATAATTTAAGTATTTATATTTTAATTAATTAATTAATTTTAATTAATACTTTTATGATACTGTATATTAGGATTATACCAAGTGTTTTAAACATATTGTATCAAAACTATTTATGTAAGACAGTGTCTTATATCTTCTTTGGTATACAAACCATAAGAAATTAGTTCTCAAAAAGACTTGTAAGGTACTATGACACTTGTAAGTATGCAGTACTAATTTTACTTGAAAAATCATGGGGTAACTAAGGCAGACAGTTTAACAAGAAAATAATTTTGTTAAATCTAAAGAACAAGTAGTCAAAATCAGTATCCTTGTTTTCTTTTAAAAGTAATATTGCTTTCCTAAAATGTCAATTCAAAATTCTACTGGGAAACTTAAAAGAAGTTAAGTTTAACTTGTAAAGGGTGAGAGCAGTGCCAATGCGGAAGATCAATGCCATTCTACTCTCCTATCTGCCTCTTGTATGTCACAGATGTTTTTACATGATTATAACTTTGTATTTTAAAACAAAATATTACACTGTGGGTTTTTTTAGGTGAGAGGTCCCCCAGTTGCTGGAGCATTTAAAGAAAGAACTACAAAGCCCACAGCATTTCGTAAGTTTTATGAGCGAGGAGACTTCCCAATCGCCCTTGAGCATGATACGAGAGGAAACAAAATCGCCTGGAAGGTAAGTCAGGGCACAACTGTGACAGCCAGCTGCGGTTATTGAAGTGACATCTCATTGCCAAACAAAGTTGTCTTATAAGTAAATAAACTGGAGTAATTTCTTAGCAAATGGAAGTTGGTGGGGTTGCTGTTAGAGAAAGGCCCCCTGAGTCAGCCATCTACCTTGACTAACAATTAAATTATATGCTGCAAAAAAGAAGATGACAGAGTTGCTTTGCCTTAGAGAATTGTCTCCTGCCCAATTCATCTCTATTTTTATGAGGACCTGGCAACCCAGCCTATTTCAGGCAGTCCATCAAATGATGGAAGTGGCTGGATACAGTGAGCAGCAGCCATTTATCTCCCCCAAATTTCACCTTCCTGCAGGACACTTCCAAATAGAAGCTTTAATTACCTAAATGGATAGGTCAAGATTGCCTGCTCCCTGGAAATGCAGAGCAGAATACAAACGAAGGCAGATTCTCATTCCACGGCTGTACTCTCAGTCTGCAGCATATGTCAGGCAGCGTAATCGCTGTCATACGTGCCCCTGTTAGAGGCTGACCTCCACTGCTGAAACCATTACAGCTCCGACATTTCTCTGACAAAAGGTTAATTGGCTTCAAAATAAATGTATTGCCTAATGACTCCATTCTAATGCAGCTGTGTTTCTCTCTAAAAGGCTCAGTGATGTTATTTGTACAACTTGCCAATCTTTTAAGTAACTAGAGCAGGCTTTTAAATTTAATTTGAAAAATGAATGCTGATCTTTAACCTTCTCCTACTATTTAATTATTTTGGTTATCAAGAATTATTTTACTTTTTGTATTACATATAGAGTTAGAAGATGATTTTTTAGAAAGGGAGGAATAGCTGCATAAAAATGAACATAATATTCATGAAGAATATACTTCAAATTTGTAGAATGATTTGATTCGTTCATATCAAGCATGTTCCTAATATAAAAATTACAGCTCTGTTAATTTAGCTGATGGAAGAGGGATTTCACAATGTGGAGCCAGATTCTGCTATCAGTAAAACCATTGAGAGCAGGATTAAGTCTATAGGTTGGTAAATAAATCTGTGCAATTAATTCATGACTGGTTCAGATATAGGGTTTGTTTGTTTATTATATTATAAAAAGAATACTTGCAGTCTGGGAAACACAGCAGATAGGCTGCAACATTATTGCACATAACAAATTCCTGAACATAGGGAAACAGCTAGGTCTTGCAACAAGGAGAAGCTATAGCCATTCTCTCCACTGGAGCTGTCCTAAGTTCAGATGAAAAACAGAAAAATCTGATGTTGCTTCTCACAGATCCACAAACTGACTTGGCCCTACCATATACTAGGCCTCAGCTTCTTGGTTCATTCCAAAAACCATCACTAACCTCCTAAAGAGAGTGAAAGAGCTCTAGGCTGATCTGCACCATTTCTGCCTGTGTGGTTTACTGTCCTAAAACATGACAATCTCTGATCTCACATTTCCAGATTGAGACGGACAACCCTTTGCCCCATTTTAATTGTTATCTGGTATACACATTTCTATTTCAATGCCATGTTGATAGTGGCAGCTCATCTGCCATCCTGCTAATCTGTTCACTTACAACAAACCCACTAGCCAAATATGACTATTTAGAATAAATGGGTTGTTCCCAATGTTTGTAATATGTGCTGTGTTGGAATGAAATGGCCTTGGATATTGATCTTGCTAGGGTATCCCAACCAAAATCCAAGATAAGTTTTCTCATTGCCTAAGTCAGCCAACCTGTGGCATCCATTGCCTAGGTCAGCAAACCTGTGGCATCCATTCTACAAGTGACATGAACAGCCTCTTAGTGTGGCTTGCAGCAGATTGGGAAGGGGCAGGCAGCACTGTGGTACATAAGGCAGGGAGCAAAAAGCCTCAAAGGAGCAGATCAGTCAGGGAGCACAGGGCAGACAGCAAAAACTAGAACAGATCAGGCAGGAAAAGGGAATTAGAGTGGAACCCACGGTGAGTGTGGGGGCTAATTTGTGATGCGCCTGCCAAAACCTTTGCCCCCCCACACACACACTGCCTTAAGTCATATTTATTATGCTAGACCTTTTGGCTCACTGTATTTCTACCAGCTGAGATAAAATGGTTGCCATTCTAATATGGCAAGCAGGAAGTAGGAATGACTACATCCATTCATATTTGCCTCTCCTAGTTTGAATAATCTCATTTGCTGCACAAAATATTTCCATCTAAGTATATATTACTTAAGGCAGCACAAAAAGTTTATTCCATTCCTACATTACCAGCAGCATGAACCAACATCTTTGTCAGATGTTAAAACATTGGCAATAAGCAGGTTTTGACTTTTCATTCATCTCTCTCTAGCTGAGCTAAATGGTGATCTTCTATTAGGGAACAAGTGTGATATTTTTGTGAATGCTATGGTCACAGGTAAAACAATATGTATACAGAGAAGTTTGTTTTAGCTAATATGCACACTAATCTTCATCCTGCATAGCACTTATGGTTATGGTTATGTAGCCCGGGTACACCCAGCGGTGTGCCCTGTCCACCAGTGGAAAGGATGGTGGGCAGGCAAGAGTGCTAAGAGAGGGGCCTGCCACCTGGGAGCAGTTTCCTCTCCTCTCTACAGAGCCAGGCCGAGACAAAGTGCTCAACTATATGCAAATGTATTGCTACAATAAGTAAATATGAATAAGAAACATTAAATATTTACAGTAAAATTAGTATGTGACACCTTATACAATAACCTGCAATCAACATATTGCACAACTTCGAGGGACTGCAAAAACATGAACCAGGTGATTCACAGCATATGCAATAATTAACCCCCTTGCACAGAATAAGAATTAACACTTTCAAACAGGTAAGTCAAGGCATCAACACAATAAACACATATGAACATCAACTTAGATAAACCCATGTAGGTTGAGGTAGCAATACTATAGACATACACAGGCAGCAATACAGGTAAATTCCAAGAATAGACAATAAACACATATAGGCAGTGAAGACAGATAAACCCATATAAACTCCCTTAAGAAGTACCAATAACTATATTAACCTCTATAGTACAAAACAACAACAATCACAAAATATGGGGATGCACTCAGCATCCCACAGGGTGTTCCCTGGAGCCCCTCCCCTTTAGGGCCCCAGGATGTGGACACGCCCCCTCCCACAGTGGAGGAGGGTGGAGGCTGCAGACTCTCTTCTCCCAAGCCCACCTCCCCTGTGGGACCTGCTTCCCCAGCAATTCCTGCTCCCACTCTGAAGCAGCCAAGGCTCATCACTTGGTGGCCAGTCTCTCCGGCAGCACCTCTCTCCAGCAGCACTCCAGCCTCTCTCTGGCAGCACCTTTGGCTCCTCTCAATGGCCTGGTGCCCCGCATTGGGTACCTAGGGCACTCCCATGGGAGCCGAGCCCTTACTGGCTCCAGTTTCCCGGCCTCACACTGGGGGTTCTTTCCTTTCCCAGGCCCTGCTCTGTTTAATGCAGAGCCACACTAAAGCCAAGGCTAATTTGAGCAGCCTCAAGCTGTTCCCAGGGCCAACTCTCTGTGCGCTGACCTGAGCACCATGTGGGGCCTGAGCAGCCTTGAGCTTCTCCCAGGGCTGGCTCTCCATGCACCGATCCACGCACTGCCTACCCAGCCATTTGCCAGGTTCACAGGCCTAAGCCACCTCGAGCAGCTCCTAGAGCCTGAGCACCATGCACCGATCTGCGCACCATCGAGGCTCAGGCGGGGTCCTGCTGAGGACAGTTGTCTCCAGAGCTCCTCTCTCCTCACTGTCCCTCGCTCTCCCAGTGTGCCGAGCATGCTCTCCTTTTATACACTTCAGGGGCTCCACCCCCAATGTTCTCCAGACCTGGCAGGGCATAGTCTTGAAACAGGTACAGATTGCTCCTTGCCCCCTTCCTTTGGGGAAAGGGCATGGCCTTGCTTACCCTGGCTTGCTGCTGATTGGTGTACAGGCTCCAACAATCAGAATTGCAGAATCTCAAGCTCAGGACTCATCCAGAGCTCAAAAGGTAAGTCTGCTACACTTGCTTTTGAGCATGTGACTAGTCCTACATGAAAACTAGCCTGTGCGTGAAAGATCTTCCAAAATAAAGTAAAGTATGAATTTAAAATTAATTAATTATTACTGAAATAGAGTAACTAAATCCAAAATATATTAAACTAGTTAAAACAAAAAAATTATTCGTATTTGAGAAACCATATGTCCACATATTAAGTAACTCACAAATAGTTATTCTGCCTGAAAAGCTCTTGTAGAGTAACTTCATTTGTAGATAAGCCATTAATGTGCAGGTTGAGGCAGCATAGTATCTGATTTTTGTACAGTGTATGCTGATGGGGTTGTACCCATTTGAGAAACGTAGCCCATAATGGTCATATCTAGCAAGCCTTAAAAATGTGAAATCCTGTTTATGCAAAATAAGTAACGTTTGAAAATGTGTTCATTAAAACAGTTTAGCCAACATGTTTTTAAAGCGTTATTCGTTTTCCTAGTCTAGATGGGATGTAAAGTCACCTTTTGCTATGTAAAGTTTAGATAAATGGACTTGAGCAGGGAAAAGAATGGAAAAGTTCAGAGGGGATAAAGCCCAGGTATAAGTATGACACATTGTCTCCCCCATGCCATCTGATGTTAGTTTGCTTGTTGTCTTGCCTTTTCTTCTCTTCGTAATTTTGGTTTTCAAAATAGAAATTTTTTTTAAATGTTCTCCATATGCATTTTATGACAGATTGCAAACTCTGGCTGTGAAGACTGATCGGTTTCTAATCAGCTGGCCACACAATGCTATTTTCTGGCTTTTTCAATAAAAAGCAAAGAAAATTAGAACTTTGCTAAAATACTGTTAACTCTTACTTTATACTTTTGAGTTCACTGAGAGAAAGAACATCTTCTTGGGCATTTGACTTGGAAGAGTCTGTATTTCCACACTACACTATTTTTTGCATTACTGTTGTGAGTTCAGATAATGTTCTTTCCATCAAATAGAGAAAACTT